GCCACGGTACCCATGGCAGTACATGGGAAGCAGCTGGCTTTGCTCTGTTGCTTAGCCAGTCGTCTAACTGCAGTTGTTACTGGCTTGGCCCAATGATCTAATTTAAAACAATTGTGCATTTAAAACCATTTTAGTTTATGAAATAAAATCTATGTCTCAGTTTCTTTGCATGCCACCTGAGATGTTACCATAAATAACTGCAGGGATCAAGGTGATAAAGACTCTTTTAAGCTCATTTCAGTTTCATTTCACACTGTACACTGGGCTGAGAACATAAGTACCAACTAAAGAGTGTCCGTCCCTGAGTGACATGATTGTAAACACAGAGCTGCAGTCACACTGTACGTGTTCGAGTGAAGCAGACTTGGACTAAAGCCACCTCGGCTGGGGGGGGGGCTGTCCCGTGCAGCAGAGGGTATTCAGTGGGCCTCTACCCACTAGACACCAGTAACACAACCTTCCACGATAGGACAACTAAACATGTTCCCAGACATCGTCAAGTGTCCCCTGAGGGCAAAATCGCCACTGATTCAGAACTACTGGACAAGAACTACTGTGAGGGGGCAGAGGAGGCCTTGCAGAGGAAAAGGTGGTTTGGTGACTTTGAAGGGACAGGAGTGTTCCAGGAGAAGTCTGGGATCCCTGGGACATTCCTGATGGAGGGAAATCTAGGCAGAGGCTCAGAGACACAAGAAGCCTGACCTGCTCCCTGTGGCTGAGACTCAGGCTCAAGGGGGAACAATTCAGCTCAGGAAAAACTTAACAAGCCTTTTTTTTTAGGAAGCTTTTTCATTTTAAAAATACAATTAATTGAATCATTAATACGTCTTCCACACACAGGTAGCTTTGTTGTGATTTTTATTTCTGGGCCATCATGAAGCAGCCAGCAGGCTGGGAAAACCGGGTGTCTCAGGGTGATTGAGGTTCAGAAACTGGTTCTAATCAAGGCAAGGGCCTGGCATTCCAAAGGTCATCTAACCGTGGAAGCATCTCAGACATTCTTATCAACCAACGGTAAGAAAAGTGATGATTTTCCAGGGTGCTCCCCACCTGACTCTATTCTCTTTCCAAGCTTTGTCACCGAATTCCTGGCCCTGTTGTTTAGTGTCTGAGTAG